CGTCCGTGACTCGTGCGAAAAAACAGTCTTATTCGGAACCGCCTGGAATCCGAGACGATCCCGTTTGCTCTTGTCTTCCTCGTCTCTACTTGTGTTCATTCGTCGTGTTCAATCGTGATGACAGATGGCTTTTCGGTTAACTTCAAGTGCGATTTTTTTTCAGACGTGAAACTACCTTTCCCGAGCCGTCGTGAGATTGTCCGAATACGCGGAGTATCCGGCCTAATATTTTTCGCTCCGAGAGAAAACCGATTTTTAATTTTTATTGAGAAACGCGCCGTATAAAAAATTCGTGGCGAAGGCATATGCGGCGTGATGTGCACCGGATATTGTAAATGCCTTTAATGTTTGTTCGATCGACTGCCGCGCGCGACGTTTGCCATATCTCGCGGACAAGTCCATATAATTACTTAGGAAAATAGTTTTTTAACGTTAATGCCTTATCGCTAAGAATTGAAGGAGACTGGAAAAATATCTGTGTGTACTTAATATTTATTGTGTACTCTATATACATATATAGATCGCGCAAAAATTTATTTAGATGGACTTAACCTCTAATTCTTGTGTCGTAATCGCATTGTATTAATCGCTTTATCATTAACCATATCTTTATTTATCATATTAACAGATTCTATTTTCTTTGCCTTTTTTTTTACTTTAGGTCTGCTTGATATAACCATATTTTTATATCTCTTCTCTCACATCTGAATGCACCATTTCATTTTTTAAATGTAGAAATTGCAAAACTGGAATGAGCTGAGCTTTTGTAAATAAAAGATTTTTTTTATGTATTTTGTTTTTATGTATTTAGTTCTTAACACACTCTTGTTTGGATTAACAAACCCATCTTTGATCCTTAAATTGAAACCTGTAAAAATTTTCATTTTTATGTGTTTTTAAATTTTAATTTAAAATATATTCTTAAAATTATTACAAATTTTCAAAGTATTTTATTCTTCTCTGTATAGAAGCAAAAATAATTATTTATAATTTTTTAAATAAACATTTCTTCTACATATTATACTTATTCGTTATTAATAATACATATTAAATTGCTATTTCATTCAATGAACCTCAAAAATGTCAATTTCAAATTAACATTTAAATTTTTGTTACGTTTCTTGATAAAAGAAAGTATAATTTTTGCAAATATTAAATTGTGTGTTTTTTCAAATAATAAATGTAATTTCTTTTATATATGAAATGCTATAATGAATGTCAAAAATGAATATACTTCATATTAACATTTAAATTTTTATTACGTTTCATTTCTTACATCAGAATTAATTTAATTTTTCCAAGTATTAAATAGTATATTTCTTCGAACATGTAACTTTTTAAACATTTCAAATTGTTTGAATTTCAATAAATCTTAAAAATGAATACAGATTAAAATTTAAACTTTTTTTTTTACTACATTTCATTTTTGACATAAGTTTAGTTTTTTCCAAATATTAACTGCGTATTTTTTTTGAATTGCACATGTGTGGTGCACGTGTACAAAGAAGAATTTCGTGTTCTCGTTCTTACGTAAAACTACACGTAAAATCTTATGCGTTAATCGTCACCAAAAGACGTAAGCACGCAACAAAGGAATTAAATTCCCCGTTTAATTCGTAAATAATCTCGTTTCGAGGCGCATTATAAATTTCGCTTTATCGCTCTTTCTATATTTATCCGTCTTTCTCTGTCGTGCGCGCGCTCTGTTTCCGTTTAACTCGCTGTTTATTTTTCTCGCGTTACGCGACCGCGCGTAGGCGTATTCTCTCTTTCATTCCGTTCGCTCCTCTCGCTCTTTCACTCATCATGCGTTGTTTTGCTCCTTCTCCCCTCTCTTGCTGCCTGTTATGCGTGTGTGCGAACGGGCGCGCGCGCGCGCGCACGCGCACACACATTGTATGCATGCGCGTGGCCGTGTGTGCGTGCTCGCGCGATCGCGCGATCGGCTTCTCTCGGCGGCGTTCGAAGCGCAGTTACCTCACGCGGCACTTTCGTATCGGTGGTATCGCGACGGTTGTGTGTATACTTACTTGTATAGTTGGCGTTTATTTATATCTGGAATCGTATGTACGCGACATCGGCACGAGTCGCGTTCGCGAATGCTCAGTGAACGCAACGGTGGTGATAATCGACTTCTCTTATGATTTGCAGTGCAATCGGCGGGTAAATGTTGTGAAACGCAGTGAGAAAGGAGCAGTGGAGAGTAGAAGAGGAGAAGAGCACGGTCGCGGCAACAGGAGGAAGAATTAAGACGACTGGACGATTGTGATTGAAGCAGAGGCACGTTGTGAAGAAGAAAGAAAATAAAAATACATGATTCTTAACGTTTAAAAGAACGCTGAAAACGGAGCACTCGAGTAAATGCGCTCGTGCATTCCTGGGTGCTGGAGATTGATTGATAGTGATCAATATAGAGAAAGATACGCGATTCACCAAAGGGAGGAATTTGAGAGAAGCTGAGCTTATTTGAAAAAGCTGGACCAACTTGGTAGAAAAAAAGCTTCATTAAGCCGCTCGAGATCCCTCGAAGACGACGATTGACGAGGGAAGAGAGTCCAGCTGGAAATATTCATAGACCGTTGTTTAATCGTGACGAAGGCGAGAGAGAGATCATTGGAGAATCAAACAGGAGCAGCGGTGTAGAAAGGAACCTCCGCATACCCTCCGTCTCTGCGACTCGGCCTCGTTTGCCGCCGCTGTTGCCCGCCGCCGTCGCTGTCGCTGTCCGCGCGGATTGGTGCACGTTCCTCTTGTTCGGCGTGCGTCAGTGTTGTCATCGGTTGGTTTACTTGTGCGCGTTCGTGCGCGCAGTTACGCGGCCGAAGGTAGCCGACGTGCGGCGGAGTCGCCCGAGGCGGCGCGGCGCGGCGCGGCGGCCGAAGACATCACGATTACGTATCTCGCCGGTATTCCCCTTCCTTCCCCTTCATTCTCGCCTGCGCGCTTGTCGTACGCGCTCGTTCGCGCGCGTGTCGTGTGTGTGTATGTGTGTGTGTGGCTCTGTTTCTGCTGTGCTGTGCTGTGCGTGAGGCTGTGTGCGTCCGTGTGTGCGTCCTCGGCACGTGTGTTGGCGCGGGAGCGTGCGGCAGAAGAAAGGGGAACGAGCGCGAACGGAAGCAGCCAGGATTACTCCAAACCAAGGAAATATGAGCATTGCTGCCCTATTACAAGCCGCCGAGTACATTGAACGAAGGGAAAGAGGTGAGTGCGAGCATCTCGCGTTTTTTATTTCCCCCCCCCCTTTTCTCCCCCCTCTCTTTCTTTTTTAATTACGATTTTGCGTAAAATAAGATTCTTCAATTTTATAGAATAATCGATTACAAATGAACTTGGAGAATTTAAAAATTTCAGAAAAGTTCCCGATGCTGTAACTTAATTCCACTATCACAATTTGATATATTTCTTTTTAAGTTATTAAATATAAAAAGGGGGGTTTAGAAAATTTTGGAGTAGTTTTATGTTATTGTCCAGTTGTTATTGTTTCGTTTCTTGAAGTTTTTTCAGGATAATATTATATTATTGAACCTAGAGAGTAGAGCTCTATTAAGAAATGATTACTTTTATTAGTTAATTAATTGACGTACTGCGATATGTCTGCTTTAAATTTTTATCGAAATTGTCGCCAAATGTTAGCTCCATTTCTGAAATTTTATGTTTATTAAATTTTATATTATTTTATATTGACTCCGTTTCGTAAATGCATACAGGAAAATACATGCTGTACGCATATAATAATTACTTGTTTCAAATATTGGAAAAATGCATACATTCGCAAATCTAAAAATTTATCACAAGTATCAAATTTATTCAAAATATATTTTGAATCTTAGTAAGTTTAATACTTCAATAAAGATTATTAAACTAAAAAAATTTCGGTTTGTTCATTATACAAAAAGTCGCTTCCTCGATCAATTTTATAGTATTTTTTAAAAGAGAATTCTTGTTTTAAGTACTTAATAATGTTTTCTCAAATTTGTAATATATAAGTATATATTTTAAGATTATCAAGAAAATATTGTGTTAAAAATAACTGTTACTTAAAAGAAAGGAAGTTAGTTGAGCAATCATTTTCTTAGCAATAGAATGATATTTTTTTTGTGTACATGACACGCACGGTTCATTTAATCCTTGTTTAACATTCGGTGAACAACAAGGATACAATGATGCATCATGCGTTTTACGAAACGCAGCCATTGTCAAATCAGGATTTGAATCTCCCTGAGATCGTGGAGATCGTCAATTATAAATTCTCGATACAACGGACGTGTTCTTCTCAGCATGCAGTCTGTTCTTTCGAACGAAATTTAATCGTACGATTTACGAGTATCCGATCGTGACTATCTTTGTTTTCGCGTTGGATCGTACGCGGCGCGATGATGATCTCATTTTATCATCCCACTTATAATGCCGCTGCGTCGTACTAGAGCGATGTCCTCGCCGCGTGCATGCGGCAACGCATGTCGTTTCAACGTGCGCGCGCGCGTACTTGTATTTCTTCGTGCGTCGTAACACATTGGGAGTTTTCCAATGGAGTCGCCATGCACACGTGGGATCCTCGTAAAGGGTCTCTGCGCGCGCGCCACACATGTGACGCGACGCATTTGCCGCGCAGCAAGAAGCGATGCGTCGTCGACCAATCAATTTCCCGTTTTCCCATAAAGCTCGTATCAGACTACCGACTCTGCGAGCCGACCCGACAGCCAACTCTGATTACCGATTAATAATGGACCAATCACATCGAATCAGTCTCATTGTGATTGGTCCATTATTGGTCGGCAGTCAGAATTGGCAGTCGGGTCGACTTGCAGAGTCGGTAGTCTGATACGGGCTTAAGAGTGAAAGATTCGGTTGACTGTAGCGTCGCTTTTTGTCTCGTGACAAACGTTTGTGTAAGAATGAAAACGCATCAAGTTGCATGCGTATTAAGGCTACCTAAT